TCCATCCATCCATCCATCCATCCATCCATCCATCCATCCCTTGAAGAGAGATGGCAACAATCCGCCCTAATGGGATGGAAGCCAGGATGAGAGACACTGATGGTTGTAGTTATGGGGGTTCTTCACAGTGCCTTTTAGAAGGGCAATCCAAAGCGGAACCGGCGGGTGTTGTGGTTGATTTTCTAGTAAAAAAAAAAAACAAAACAGAGGCAGGCTTTATCAGCTCTAGAACTCTTGCTGGGAAGTTCAAATTCCTGGGAAAAGAGCTCCACTGGCCCATGATATGAGTCCACCCCACTTTCCCATCCAATATTCCCCCACCACTTCTGTCTCCTGTCTTTCACCCAACCAAGGGGAGGGGTTGGGCTGATCCACTACCTCTTTCTCAATCAAAGGCAATGGGTACTTGGCATCAGGGTCCTGTAAGGTGATAGGATCTCTCTTCCTGGAGTTCATGTTCTTCAGGGCAAACACAAGCACTGTAACCCCAATGACCCCAAGGGCCAGCAGCAGGGAAGGGTCCTGGCAGACACAATGTGAACAGTACATCTCAGGTCTTACCATCCCTGAGCAGCACAGTGCTCAGACACAGCATCCTCCCAATCACAGCGTCCTCCCCCCCACAGGAGGAAGCAGGCTACACTAACAAAAAGCAGGTTGAGCTTCTGTGTACCAGAAGGTAGGGAGGGGGTCAGCTGCAGATACTGGTGGGAAAATGCTACTATCTCCAGGGCCCTCCTGCTCATCTGCCTCATCCTGGCTACAGCCAAGGGTGCAAACTTTGGGAGTCCTCCTCCACGTGGAGTGGTTATGACATTACCTGTAATATGCAACACGGAATGAAAGCCCAAGCCCCCAGGACAGAACCAGAGAGAGGGGTGGCTGCCTCCCAAGGTGGTTACAGCTGAGAGCAGGGCACTCCCCTTTTGGTCTGGTGAGGGTTAGGAGTGAAGTAGCTCTAACCAGGGGATGTTCCACGACTTTGGGCACCCTCCAGGACAGGCAAAGGAGGCCTGGGCACTCACCTGCTAGAGGCTTGGCAGGCCTCCCCGCAACCGCCCTCAACTCTGCCACCACGCCCGGCACGCAAGGCCAGCCTGTTCATTTCTCCACCCAAGCCTGGCCCCGGCCGGATTCGGTAAAGGTCGTTCGGCTTCTCCCACCCGATGCCCCGCCCGCACCCCGCCTTCTGGGAATCCGCCGCCCGCCCAGCCCAGCGCTCCCGCCCTGCGCGGCGCTGCCTGCGGCCTACGCGGCCTCTGTCCCTCCTCCCGCCCCCGCTAGGGTCCGTCCGACGTCAGGGCCGGTGGCTCTCCGCGCCTCCCGCCTCTTCCCGCCCTGCCGTCCCGCGGAACCAACCCGGAATGAGACGCCCAACATGTTAACGAACTGGGGCTCCCCGCGGAGCTCCGCCTGGCGGACTAGAGCGGGACTGAGGCCGGCAGCGGACAGCGGCAGGCAGGGGACCGCCAGCGGCCCGGCCTTGGCGGCGGCTGACTGCCCCCCCAGGGGCCCAGTGGAGGATTCTTTCTCGCGCGATGCTGGCTCTGGCCCAGCCCTGCCCCCAGGGCCACGCGGAAAACCGAGACTTCTGGGCTTGCAGGCCGGAAACCGGGGGCGTCCTTGTTCCTAGATTCCTAATTTGATCCTGACCCCTTCTGCACCCCTGTCCCTTGCATACTGAAAGCAGCCATGACTGAGAACTCAGTCCCCCTAGCTTATTTAAGTTATGGCTTGGTTGGAGAAAGGGACATCTGAATGACTAAAGGAAGGGATGCTGCAAAGGGAATGGGAGTTGGGGGCCAAAAAGCAATAAATACATACATTCACTCAACACGTCTTGTGTGCTTCTCTTTTGAGCCTTGTCTTGAGCTGTGTGTTTGCAGAGTATGGTGGAATCAGAAGCTATCATTGAATTGAAGACATTTATTGAAAATGTTCTCTCATTTCGCTGGCCAGTCCGTCCGTCCGTCCATCCATCCATCCATCCATCCATCCATCCATCCATCCATCCATCCCTTGAAGAGAGATGGCAACAATCCGCCCTAATGGGATGGAAGCCAGGATGAGAGACACTGATGGTTGTAGTTATGGGGGTTCTTCACAGTGCCTTTTAGAACCTTGGTCTTCCACCCCAGCCCACCCTGTGCTATTGGCAAAGGTAAATCCCTGCCTCCTGGGCCTGAGAGAGAGAAGCCAAGAACAAGTCCCTACCTGTTTTAGTTTGCTAGGACTGATGCCAGATACTGGGATCTTTTGGACTGGTAAGGATGGAAACAAAATCTGGTCACATGTGAACATACAGGCATGACTTTTCCTGGGGCTTTCGTTTAGGAAGAGAAACAGCTCTGACAAAATGTCAGACTGGGTCCCTGAACAAAAGAAGGAAGCTTAGTTTGTTGGTTACTTGCTGGGGTGGGAATGTGAATAGCTTTAGGTGTACTCAACTCAAGAGTTTTGGCCTGGGCTAAAGATAATTTAGTACAGTTGCTGAACACAGTAAAGCGTTCCCACTTTAGGTAGCAGTTAGACATAAGCAGTAGGCAGGAGTTTAAGAAAATATTTGGTATAGAACAAATTGATTAACCAACAGCCCTGTTTCAGTGATACCTCAAGCTCTGAAAAGACAGCTATTTCAGGACCCTTGTCTGATCTCAGTCTTATAAACTATTCCTCTTACAACTGAAGAAAGAGACAAATTCAGGAGAGGATAAAGATAGGTTTCCTCAGAAGGGCCTAATTGCTGAGGCATCTTATGCAAGACCCTACACAAACACAGACCAGAGATTTCCATACTCCGGAAAACAGGATAATTAAGACCAGAGCCCACAGCCCATAAATTCTGTTGAAAGAGTTCCATTTAGGACCTGTAAGCCAGGCCAAGATGACCGAGAGTCGCCATTAGGTTGTTAACTAATGTAGTCTGTCAATCCAGAACCGAAAGTGATACTTGGGTGGGTGTTCTAAGGATCTCCCTCCTATTCCAAAAAGGGCTGGGACAGAAAGAAGTGAGTTGTCACTGTCCTCTCTGAGAGAAACCACTCTCTCCCTTGAAGGTGCTTCCCCCTTCTTTATCTTCTAATAAACTTTGCTATACTTTTACTAAAAGTCTCATGTCTTGCTTGAAATCTTCTCATGAAGAAGAACTAAAAACATAATGCAATCTTTAGTAAGATCTCAGATGTGATCACATCTCTGATTTCACCTTTCCTCAAGTATGAAAAGCCAACACTGGTTGAGGGTGGTGCATACTGTGTCTCCTGGTGTTTGCTGTCAGGCCATGAGCTTGCCCAGCACCAATAATGCATTTTCCCTTTGTCCCTGTGGTGGTCCCTGTCTCAGGGCTATTGTAACAAGGTACTGCAGATTGTGTGGCTTACCCAACAGAAATTTACTGTCTCATAGTTCTAAAAACTAGAAATCTAAAATTGAGATGTGGCTTCTAACCAGCCCACTACCGACTACTGTGGGTGCCCAGGCCTAGCCCAGATCTGCCCACACAAGTCTGTATGGGACCCAGGCTACAGTAGGCCCGGGTACACTCCTTTACTTGCAGGGCAGACACCCACCAGAGCTCAGCTTCCAGCATAGGACCTCCCCTTCCGATCAGCAGACTACCACAGGAGCCCAGACCCAGCCCAGATCCGCCCACACAGACTCTGTAGGACCCAGGTTAGGGTAGGTCTGAGTTTGTCCTCTCTGCCCCCACCTGGGAGCCTAAGCCTAAACTACTTCCATCTTGGAACACTGCAGTCATCACCATAGCCTTCCCCACGCAGTAGCCCCTAATTTTTTGACAGTAGACAGGGCATAGAAGCAGCTGCATCTCTGAGCAGGCACCCCAAAGAGAGTGTGAGGCCCACCCTTTCAGCCCCATCTCTATAAGACATTGCTTCCATCTTGGGCACCTTAACTATTATTTCGAATTACCTCCGCTATTGCTGCCACCACCTTTAGATGCAGTGGTATACATTGAGGGACACCAGTAGGATTTGGAAGCCCAACATCAAGGTGAGATACAGAGAATCTGCACAAGAATATAGGGAAGAAACTGTAATAGCTCAGATCCACGCTGCAGGAAAGGAAGACACATAGTCAACATGAAAAAACAAGGAAGGAAAGTGTCCCAAACATTATTACTATAATCAACAGAATCCATGAACAGAGAAATTGGTGAAATGTCAGAGAAGGAATTCAGAAAATTCATAAGTAAAATAGTCTGTGAATATAGAATGACCTAAATGAGCAAAAATTGTTCACTCCAACAAAGAGATAAGAGAGCAAATCCAGGTAGCAAAATATTACTTCAAGAGAGAGATAGAGACTTTGGGGAAAAAAAAGTCAGAAATTCCTAAAATGAAGGGTACAGTAAACCAAATAAAAAAACTCAATTGGAAGCATAACCAACAGACTAGATCACTTAGAAGAAAGAACATCAGATAATGAAGACAAAGAATACAATCTGGAAAATAAAGTTTATCACACAGTGAAGATAGTAAGAAAAATGAACAGAACATCAAAGAATTATGGGACAGCATCAAAAAACCAAATCTAAGAGTTATTGGGATAGAGGAAGGCATAGAGTTTCAAACCAAAGGAATGCACAATCTCTTCAATGAGATAATATCAGAAAATTTCCCAAGCATGAAGAATGAATTGGAAAGCCATATACAAGAGACTTATAGGACACCAAATGTACAAAATTACAACAGATCTACACCAAGGCACATTGTAATGAAAATTCCTAGCATACAGAATAAGGACAGAATTTTAAAAGCCACGAGAGAGGAATCAGATCATATATAGGGGGAGACCAATTCGTATCTCAAAGCAGATTTAACAACCCAGACCCTCAAAGCCAGAAGATTGTGGAACAGCATATACCAAGCTCTGAAATAAAATGGATGCCAATCAAGAATCTTATATCCAGCAAAACTAACCTTTAGATTTGATGATGAAATAAAAACCTTCCATGATAAACAAAAGTTAAAAGAATTTACAAGTAGAAAGCCTGCACTACAGAACATCTTCAGCAAAATATTACATGAAGAGGAAATGAAAAACAATGATGAAAATTAGCAGAGGGAGGTATTACACTAAAGTAAATTTTATTCAGAGGAGGAACCAAGTCATGTTAAATACCCAAAATAAACAAAAACGGCTGGGAATACAAATCATATCTCAATAATAACCCTGAATGTTAATAGCCTAAACTCATCAATCAAAAGACATAGACAAGCAGATTGGATTAAAAAAAAAAAGACCCAACAATATGCTGCCTCCAAGAGACTCATTTCATAAAAAAGACATCTACAGACTGAAGGTGAAGGGTTGGGAAAAATCATACCACTCACATGGACTGCAGAAGCAAGCACAGGTTTCCATCCTCACATCATATAAAGTAGACTTCAAGCTAAAGTCAATCAAAAAGGATAAAGAAGAACACTACATACTGCTGAAGGGAACCATACACCAACAAGATTTAACAATTATAAGTATATATACCCCAAACAATGGAGCGTCTATGTTCATCAAACTCTTCTCAAGTTAAAGAGCCAAAGAGACCACAATACAATAATTTTGGGTGACTTTAACACACCTCTTTCATCACTAGATAGATCTTCCAAACAAAAGCTGAAGAAAGAAACTATAGAACTCAATAATACAATCAATAACTTAGACTTAACTGACATATATAGAATATTTCATCCTTCAATGAGAGAATACACTTTCTTCTCAGCAGCACATGAATCCTTCTCTAAAATAGACCATATATTATGCCACAAAGCAACTCTTAGCAAATATAAAAAGGTAGAGCTATTACCCTGCATTCTATCAGATCATGATGGAATTAAATTAGAAATCAATGATGAAATAAGAAATAAAATCCACTCCAAAACCTGGAAACTAAATAATATGCTACTGAATGGACAATGGGCTGCAGAAGACATCAAGGAGGAGATTTAAAAAATTTTTAAAGTGAATAAGAACACAGATACAACATTGAAATCTCAGAGACACTATGAAAGCAGTTCTAAGAGGAAAGTTCATTACATGGAGTTCATTCTTTAAAAGAAGAAAAAGTCAACAAATAAATGACTTAACATTACATCTCAAAGCCTTAGAAACAGAAGAATAAATCAACACAAAAAGCAGTATAAGACAGGAAATAATTAAAATCAGAGCCAAAATCAATGAAATTGAATACAAAGAAACAATTGGAAAAATTGACAGAGCAAAAAAGTTTGTTCTTTGAAAAAGTAAATAAAATTGACAAACCCTTAGCCAAGGTAATGAAGAGAAGGAGAGAGAAAACTCAAATTACTAACATACAGGATGAAAAAGGAAATATCATGACAGACACTATAGAAATACAGAAGATAATTAGAAATTATTTTGAAAACTTGTACTCCAATAAAATAGAAAATATCAAAGGCATCGAAAAATTTCTAGAGTCATATAATTTGCCCAAATTGAATCAGGATGATATACACAATTTAAACAGATCAATCTCA